ATGTTATAATTATGTGCGATTTAATTAAATACATTCAAATCAATTTTATGCCTTTAAATATGTGATTAGATCAGGTTAAAATCCTTGTATAAATAATTCCAAACTTTTCCCCGGGATAGAAACTTTTTATCTAAGGAGAAGGATCGAGAAATTAGGAATGTTATTACTTTAATGTAAATTCAAATAAAAGTTTCTATGAATTTGACTGCAAAATAAATTAACGTGTAATAACATTTGTCCAAAACAACCAACATACCTGAGATAGAATAAAGGTTATCAGAATACCAAAAAGCAGACCGAACTGCAATGGAACAAGTTTCGATTGCTGAAAGGGCCACAAACCAAGTGTGAGCAGGAGGATACGATTTAGACTGAGATACGTTTGAACATACTGCGTGCAAATCATCCCTGCGTCAACATCGGGACCTGTTTGATGCCGAGTACATCTAGGAACGTTCGCTTGCCCCACCTCTTCTATTCGTAGGATGATTATCTTATAACTTACCTCTAATTGAGCGTATATTTTAGTACAATGTAGCCAATTTTTTCAATAACGTAATATGACTGCGAAATAACACCGTGAGAAAGCAATGCTTTTATTTCAACAATATCTTTGATACCATATCTTCGATTAAGCGATTAATTTCCCAGAGGAAAATATTTCTCCAGATATTTCCTTGCTATGATATACGGACTTTCACGGAATATCTTGTCCCGCAAAGTCTGCGCAAGCGTATTTACGTTCTATGTAGTTGGATATGTTTCATTCTCACGCGAGCCGTCATACGTTACGTTTCATCTCTAATCTTTATTCGTCTTGCTTGGATCTTGATGTTGATATCACCTCTTGCAACAGCAGTAAGTCTTCAGAGGATGTATCTACCTGCATCTTTTTAAAACATTTAAATAAAATAATTCGCTGCATATCATGATATTTTTTGGTTGTCGTAGCAATTACTTAGAATGAAATAAGTAAACAAACCACGGTCATCTCGGTTGTATTTGATAGCTAGGAATAGAAATGGAAAAAAGCGGATATTTAATTCTTTTAGCAAAATTTTTATTTAGGTACGTTGCTGGGAGACTACATTGATACTAGATATCTCTACTATTGTCGTGTTGAATAAATAACGGTGAAGTAAGATATCGTGGCGCTCATTAGCTGCAAAGAAACGTGTTTCCTTAATGATTTCCCTTTTACAATTCACGAGGCTGTTAATTCCAAAATTTTAATAAAAATTTTCAGATTAATAATTCCAACATAAAGATGATATTTTTTTATCATAAAATAAGTCGTACACGGACACATATAACAAGCAAACAGAATGTTTCGGTGACTTTTAAAACTTTTTATAGAAATTTAATACTTGTAAATTAATTAATTTATTGCTGCGCAATATGTTTTATATTTTTTCAATTATTTCTAATATTAGTGACTAGTAATTCTGAATATTTAAATTACAAAGTTTGTAATAAGTTAAATTAATTTTAATGGTAATGTCTTATATTAATGATTAACATTTAGTGATAATGATTAAAATATTAGTTTGTGATTCTATAATATATCTTATATTGTATGATATTAACATTTTCCGTATTTTTCAGGATATATTGTGAACTTGTCTGTGATGATTAGTTTATTAATTAAATATTATAAATATATTCTAGATGCAACACCTCCATTTTTGCAAAAATAATTAAAAATTTCCATAACTAAAAAAATAATTAAAAATTTTTTTAAGATTTATATGAATTGTCTTAAAACTTGTGTTTTTTAAAGTAACTTATCGATTATATTAAATTTCACCATAATTTGTAATTAAAATCCAAAACTAATCACGTAACAGTTTTAGCAATATATATTACATATTTTGTTGCATGTCGATAGCATTTGTGATGTTCCTAACATTTGCCAGTATTATGCCACATAAAGTTTATTGAATGATATATGTATGTATTATAAACATAATTCCTCAAGATGTCATAGTTCTTATTAGATATTCTTGTTCTATCATTAAGATAAAGCAATCCTGACCAGGTATGAAAAAAATTAGTGGTCGTTACAGGATCGAAAAAATCATTAAAAATTTTTTTAGTAATTCTCAGTATTAAATTCTATGAAGGATAACGAATAGTCGTGATATTACTTTCATGGTCTTTATAGCTATTAGCAACAAAATTTTTAGTTATTAATAAGAAATTCCATTGATGCTAGAATTTTGTCTTTAATATCAATTATGTATTTAATACGTCTTTAATGTCTTCAATTATGTCTTTAATACGAATAGCATTTTGAAATAAAGGACTTCTTTCACTATCTTCCGGCGACTCTGCGCGTAATCTTTTCTTACCGATGTAAAACCTTCCAAAGATCCCACAAAGAGACTACCGAGACGCAAATAATAAGGCTTACTGCCCCTTTGCAGCATGAAAAGTACCATCTTCTGCATTTGTAAGGGAGCTACGTACCACCGCATCTCGTACCTACAAAATGATGATAGAATTAACAATAACAGAATGATACAAGCCTTCAACACAATGTAACTTTTTCGCTAAACGAAGATTATGGTATTAAAAACTCCGCATTATTCTCGCTTCTATATATATATATATATCCTTTACAAAAATATTTCCGTTTTCAGCCCTCGAAAACTGTTGGTTTGAATAGTGAAAGATATTGTACTAAATGAATATGCCTTCGTTTTTATATAGTGTTTCTTTCCGGATTGAAACAAAACTGTGAAAAAAAGAAACATATTAACGTGACGTCATTCATTATCTGGAGTCAAAGTATTGTAGACGAGCGCTGTCCTAAAAAATATAAGTGGGTCCCATTAACGCACATCCACTTAAATTGACCGGTGACTGGAGTTTTCCGCTGGACCACCAATTAGAAAAGTTCATGTTAAATTATTATTCAGTCAGTTCCTATATAAGTCAATCATTTATGTGGGTTTTTCGGAGCCCGGTTCAAAAATTCATATATATCCGCGTGTATTTATATTCACTTATATTCTTTCACTTAACAGATCGCGCATGTCTGAGATAACAAGGCACGAATACAAAAATGATAGAACAAGTTAGAAACGTGTAAACTACAGGTCATATGAGGAATAAAAACGGTGAAATATTTTTGTATGGTCTGCTAATATCAACGTTTGAATAGTCCGCGCACGAATTTGCGAGTAAAAGTCAAGTAGAAGCCTCTTACACGCTGGCGAACACATGATCATTGTGATCTGTGACTTGTTGCGCGACATTGTTAACCATGAACATGTACATGTACTGATAAGATAAGATTGTAATTTGTATGATGAGTCCTTCAATGTCAAATGTTCGACTAATGGATGACAATATCAAAAAAATCTGAAAGACACCGCATATTTTTGGGTTAGAATATTTTTTAGCATTTACACGCGAAGGTATGTATTTTTTTATTAAACAACACTCACTCGCAGTAGATTAAGACTCGTAGCGATTACACCAACGCCTATCAGTAAGAAGAACCATAACGAGAATATGGACATTAGAGATTCGGCAAACCTTCAAAAGGTAAAAGCTTACGTCTCTCTTTCTTTCTGTTTCTCTCCCTCTTATTATACTCGTCCTAGCGTATAATTGGGTTAATACCAACTGTAAAGTTTTGCGATGAATATCTACTGCGTAAATTAATCCTTCGTAAGGCGTGTTTTTGTTCCGCGAATTAGATGGTCGCATCACATTCGACTTCATTGCGTGCCGGATGCGATAGCTGTAAACAATTTGAGAAACGATTTCGATTATGATATCTTGAATTAACGCAATTATAAGGTATACTGTTGCTTTTTAGTAGGGGCACTAGTTAGCTTTGATTAAATCGTGGAAGTAAAGTTTTGTGTAAAATATTCGAACTAAATTGCAACGTATGCAATATAAGTCCGCATATATAGCATATATATTATACTCTTCTCCAATATTTTTATCAGTATAAAATTTTAAACGGCCGCCGGATTTTTGTAAATGGCGGCCATTAAAAATTTTCCTCCCAAATGCCATGTTTATTAATCAGCTGAATCATAAATATTTGGCGAATATTTTAATCGTATATTAACAGCATCGTCCGGTGTTACATGTCGCAAAATTGGCTATACAAACTACTTCGTTGACGGTCGACTATCGGTCAAATTTAATAATAATATGCCATACCATTCAATTAATTTATCTTTCCCGTGAGGTATATATGTTAATATGTATAGCATATTTTTATATATTTTTCTGCAACATTTTTGAACGCGTACAAATTCCCGTACAGAAATTCTCGCGAACACTCTTCATTAAAACTACACAGAGAAGAGATTTCTTCAAGTTTAATAAATTTTATTGCATCCAAATAAATTTCATCATTGGCGTGCTCCAAAGAAGTAAATGTTGCGAATAATAAATACGATTGTTAGACATTTTCACAAATATCTAAATTAATCTTAAATAACAACTTTGTTAAAAAGTAATAAAATTTTCTTAGAAAGAAATTATTTATTTTATTTTACATATTATTTATAACCAAATAATATCTTATTTTGTTAAAAGACATTCCAAGTAATAGCGTTTTTCTGCAAAATAATAATTCTTCTTAAATGAGACAATAAAATTTCTATCCAAAAAATAATATTTCGTATAAGTGTATGCTGCTTCTATGAAATATTTTTTAGTTAATTAAATAGAAATACCAAATCTAAAGAAACCTTTTTCTCTGTGTATTGTCCTCATATATGTTCACAAATGCATAGTTCGTATTTTACCTTGCAATTCTAAACATTCCACAGATATATTGACCATATGATAACAGCATTGCCCCGGTGCTGACACACGTAAAGCATGATATAAAAACGGCCGCGTTTGCGTGCAGCAGAATTAAGTAGAAATATTTCTCTTTATCAGCACAGTATTCACTCATAAACTGTAGCATGTTAATCGGTCGAGTCTTGTTTGAGGACAGAATTATGCCGAAAATACGTTGCCCAAATTGTAACAGAAAAGCAACGGATATACTACATGCTATAAAAACTGTAAAGAAAGGAAAAATGATGCGGAACGCTTTGCCAACAAATTCGGTAGATATATTACAGACGCTTTATAAGATTTGTAAATAAATATGAGAAATAAAACTTGACCTTATTTAGTTTTAAATTGTTAATAATACACTTGTTGAGTTTAGATCTAACGTATGAATCACGTCTTAAGGAAACGATAACTTGTTACCTCACCTGTCAATATAACAGTATAACATTTTGTCTTGCTTCCGTATTCATCCATGATAGCAATTTCGTTCTCGTCTTTTAATTCGTCATTGTTACGCTGAATTTGTTCGATCAGAGATTTCACCTGTTGTTTTAATCTTAATTCTTAAATCTGTTATTCCATATCTTAATTTTTAGCACTTATGTTTGAGCTTTTGACTTTTTTTAAACAAATTGTTGTTCACAATGCGTTTGAAAAAGAAAAACATTTATAAAATATAAAAGCTTTAAAAATTATTTGTCTTTTCGAATACAAAGGATTTAACAGTCATTAACTCACTTCTTCACTGTTGACGTAAAACGAAGCATAATATATCACGCATGTAGTTAAGAGAAATGAAGTAAAAAGAATTTTGAGAACTAGGTCCACCGTGCATTTTGAAGTTAAAAGCACGCCAATCTGTACATGTAACAAATTATATCGTATAAATCTTATGTATAAGTGCAAGCGTGTGTGCGTGCGTGTGTAATAAATTTTTTTTCCTATTTTATATTTTATATAAATGTTGGCAACGCGGGAAGAAAGCTGATATCTAAATATAAGGGATTGTATCAAATTATATATAATTATATCTAAGATATATTGATATTACTATTTATACGTAATTTTATAAAGATATTTATAATTCCATATAAGTANTCCACCGTGCATTTTGAAGTTAAAAGCACGCCAATCTGTACATGTAACAAATTATATCGTATAAATCTTATGTATAAGTGCAAGCGTGTGTGCGTGCGTGTGTAATAAATTTTTTTTCCTATTTTATATTTTATATAAATGTTGGCAACGCGGGAAGAAAGCTGATATCTAAATATAAGGGATTGTATCAAATTATATATAATTATATCTAAGATATATTGATATTACTATTTATACGTAATTTTATAAAGATATTTATAATTCCATATAAGTATATATTTAATATAGTTAATGATATTTTTTTTATTGTATTGTGATTTTCATTTTAATATTTTTGTTATTTTATTATTTGTTCATATGATATAATTATGTGCGATTTAATTAAATACATTCAAATCAATTTTATCCCTTTAAATATGTGATTAGATCAGGTTAAAATCCTTGTATAATTAATTCTAAACTTTTCCCCGGGATAGAAACTTTTTATCTAAGAAGAAGGATCGAGAAATTAGGAATGTTATTACTTTAATGTAAATTCAAATAAAAGTTTCTATGAATTTGACTGCAAAATAAATTAACGTGTAATAACATTTGTCCAAAACAACCAACATACCTGAGATAGAATAAAAGTTATCAGAATACCAAAAAGCACACCGAACTGCAATGGGACAAGTTTCGATTGCTGAAAGGGCCACAAACCAAGTGTGAGCAGGAGAATACGATTTAGACTGAGATACGTTTGAACATACTGCGTGCAAATCATCCCTTCGCCAACATCGGGACCTGTTTGATGCCGAGTACATCTAGGAAGGTTCGCTTGCCCCACCTCTTCTATTCGTAGGATGATTATCTTATAACTTACCTCTAATTGAGCGTACATTTTAGTACAATGTAGCCAATTTTTTCAATAACGCAATATGACCGCGAAATTACGCCGTGAGAACGCAATGCTTTTATTTCGCGAATGTTTTTGATACTATATCTACGATTAAGCGTTCAATTTCCCAGAGGAAAATATTTCTCCAGATATTTCCTTGCTATGATATACGGACTTTCACGGAATATCTTGTCCCGCAAAGTCTGCGCAAGCGTATTTACGTTCTATGTAGTTGGATATGTTTCATTCTCACGCGAGCCGTCATACGTTACGTTTCATCTCTAATCTCTATTCGTCTTGCTTGGATCTTGATGTTGATATCACCTCTTGGAAGAGCAGTAAGTCTTCAGAGGATGTATCTACCTGCATCTTTTTAAAACATTTAAATAAAATAATTCGCTGCATATTATGATATTTTTTGGTTGGCGTTGCAATTACTTAGAATGAAATAAGTAAACAATCCACGATCATCTCGGTTGTATTTGATAGCTAGGAATAGAAATGGAAAATACCGTATATTTAATTCTTTTAGCAAAATTTCTATTTAGGTACGTTGCTGGGAGACTACATTGATGCTAAATATCTCTACTATTGTCGTGTTGAATAAATAACGGTGAAGTAAGATATCGTGGCGCTCATTAGCTGCAAAGAAACGTGTTTTCTTAACGATTTCTTTCTTACAATTCAGGAGGCTGTTAATTCCAAAATTTTAATAAAAATTTTCAGATTAATAATTCCAACATGAAGATGATATTTTTTTATCATAAAATAAGTCGTACACGCACCAATATAATGAGCAATCAGGATGTTTTGGGTGACTTTTAATTCGTATAGAAATTTAATACTGGTAAATTACTTAATTTATTGCTGCGCAATATGTTTTATATCTTTTAAATTATTTCTAATATTAGTGACTAGTAATTTTGAATATTTAAATTACATAGTTAGTAATACGTTAAATTAATTTGGTAATGTCTCATATTAATGATTAATATTTAGTGATAATGATTAATATTCTAATTTGTGATTTCATAATATTTCTTATATCGTGTGGTATTATCATTTTTCATATTTTTCAGGTTGTTTTTGTGTTGTTAACTTGTGTGCGATGTTTTGTTAATTAATTAAATATTATAAATGTATTCTGAATGTAACATCTGCATATTTGCAAAAGTAATTAAGAATTTCAATAACCAAGAAACATTTTTTTTATAATTGATATGAATTGTCTTAAAACTTGTGTTTTTTAAAGTAACTTATCGATTGCACTAAAATTCACTATAATCTGTAATTAAAATCCGAAAGTAATCATGTAACTGTTTTAGCTATATGTATTATATATTTCGTTACATATCGATAGTTTTGTAATGTTCCTAACATTTGCCAGTATTATGCCACTATAATGGTTATTGACTGATATAAGTATGTGTTATAAACATAATTCCTCAAGACGTCATAGTCCTTATCAGAAATTCTTTTTCAATCATTAAGGGAAAGCAATCCTGACCACGAATGAAAAAAATAAGTGGTCGTTACAGGATCGAAAAAATCATCGCAAATTTTTTTAGTAATTCTCAATATTAAATTTCTATGAAGGATAACGAATAGTCGTGATATTACTTTCATGGTCTTTATAGCTATTAGCAACAAAATTTTTAGTTATTAATAAGAAATTCCATTGATGCTAGAATTATGTCTTTAATACGAATAGCATTTTGAAATAAAAGACTTCTTTCACTATCTTCCGGCGACACTGCGCGTAATCTTTTCTTACCGATGCGAAACCTTCCAAAGATCCCACAAAGAGATTACTGATACGCAAATAATAGGGCTTACTGCCTCTTTGCAGCATGAAAAGTATCATCTTCTGCATTTGTAAGGGAGCTACGTACCACCGCATCTCGTACCTACAAAATGATGATAGAATTAGCAATAGCAAAATGATACAAGCCTTCAACACAATGTGACTTTTTCGCTAAACGAAGATTATGGTCTTAAAAACTCCCCATTATTCTCGCTTCTATATATATATATATATCCCTTACAAAAATATTTCCGTTTTCAGCCCGCGAAAAGTGTTAGTTTGAATAGTGAAAGCGATTGGATTAAATGAATATGCCTTTGTTTTTATATCGCGTTTCTTTCCGTATTGAAACGAAACTGAGAAAAAATGAAACTTATTAACGTGCTGTCATTCATTATCTGGAGTCAAAGTATTGTAGACGAGCGCTGTACTTAA